GTATTTTAACCTCAACCGAAAATTCAAAGAACAGTCATGATGGTATAATATTTTAGTCAAGCATGAAGTGTTTGTCTCGGGGTCCCCTCCTCTCGGGCCTGACGCACGTTCTGAGACTGCCAGGTTACTTAACATTAGAGGCATGGCTCCGGTCCAGCTCAGAGAAAACAATTCTACAGCACGCTGTAGCCACCGTAGGTAGGTACACATGTACATTGTTCTTTGGTCTTCATTTGCTACTATCCTTCTTACATTTTTGTAATTTTATCGTTTAGATTAAGGTTAAACAATGTGCCTTAGAAGTCTTCTTATTTTCTTTCTAGCGCTAATCCTGGTAGCAGCATTGATACTACTCCAAAACGAGCACCTGTTCTTTTTATACAAGTCCCTATTTGGTGGATTTCTTCTTCTGGTGATGTATTTCTACGCTTTAACCATTATGGACAGGATATGTGATTGTATAGAAACCAGCAACCTGGATATTATTAAGACTTACGTGGCCCTCTATGCAGTTGGACTTCTAGTTGTCTATTTATTCCGAAAAAGGAGATTAAAGGACACGTTTTTATTAGCATATACACTAATTGCAGTCACCAAAAACCTTAATTTTCGTTTAACTGTCAGTCAATATACTCGGTATTTCTTCAATGGACTAATACTTTTACACCTTATCTCTCTTGCAGTTGATTTTTTCTACCCTATCATAAAAAAACTGACAAATAAGTTCAAAACATGGGTATATGTAGCAAAATTTTGTGGTCTACAATTCGTATATAGTTTTATAAGGGCTTTTTCAAATTCTAGATGTTTACAATCACAGCTTCTTTTGTTTTCAATGATTTCCTTTATATTTAATATTTATTACTATATGTCATGGCCGGTTGATGTCCATGTGACCCTAACTGAGTTAGGATGGGTTAGGTTTTTGTCTCTGTGTACTGCGGAATGCTGCAAAACTACTCTTGGTCTCGTGGCCACGAGTATCGGAATCTCGTATGTGTTTTACTACCTCAATGTTATGGTAAATGTTTATCTTTATGGTTTGAGAGAATATTCCACGCGATACGATTGGGTAAACGGCCTGGTGGAGGGATTGTTAATGTTTCTGATGTGTGTCAGATCTGGGATCTTAAATACTGTAACTACAACGCCATGGAATACAAAGTTTTATTAAGAAGAGCATTTGCTATTAGAATTACGCTTCTTTTCGCAGTGTCGGTGTTCCTTAAAGGTACTTATGAAAAATATGAATATGTTATCTTGTCATTCAGTACATTACCAACAGCAAAACTATTCAAACACTTCCGCGTTCTTCTACTATATATTATGTTTATGGTATGTTCTCTCGTCGTTCCTTTCACAATTAGTCAGCTCGTTCATATAAGCGTATGTATCCCAGTAATAATTATTTGCCTGTCAACTAGTCTCCAGGTTCTGGCTTCTATTGCAACTTATGGTTTGTTTCTATATGATGGTTCTCGGTCATGTCCTTTAGAAAATCTGGACGATTCCGTATATTATATCAGATCTACTGTCAGAGTAATTGATTTCCTTGGTTCAGTTATCCTAGCCTGCACTGGTGTATGGGTCATCAAAACAGAGGGCTTAAGTTGGATTCAGACCCCAATGCTGATTTTGCACTGTTTTATCAATGTCTGGCAGCGGTTTCAATATGGATGGAAAAGTTTTCTTCAGAGAAGAGAAGCCACGAGAAAGGTTGATTCCTTGGCCTCGGCAACTAAGACAGAAATTAGGGACCATGATGACGTGTGCCCAATCTGTTTTCATCTGATGTCATCAGCAAAAATAACCCCCTGTGGTCATTTCTACCACAGGTCCTGTTTAAAGAAGTGGTCATACTTCAGGGATTCCTGTCCACTTTGTTATCGAGTGATCTTTTTCGTGTAAGAATATTTCAGTATAGCTTCCACACTGATAGCAAATACCTGAAGAACCCCTACTCTATCTACGGTGGCTCCAAGAAAGTCTGATAATTAGAGGCTGAATGCTTAGTCACTTTATTAAGGAATAATGAACTCATGTCAAATGAACTACTATAGTGTATAAACTTAATGCAATATACAAGTGCATTTATTGCCACTGTGTTTGTATTACCATTATAAGTATAAAAAGGACGACTCTGTTGTGACCATTTAATCCATTCCACTTTCCAGTGGTGATCATTATATGCATTCTAAACAAATTCCAATGTGTACATCCAATCCTCAGAATCTGATATGTTATATATCGTCTGTGTCACAGAGTATACATGTACACAGTGTTTGTATTTAAAGGACTCCTGGTAAACTTTTAATTGAAGTTATCAAAATAAACATGCACGAATAACTGACCTTTTACACATATGTTGTTACTCCTCAAATTTTAACGTATTAATGTTAAAAAATAATTCGATGTATTATAAATATGCTTCAAATTTTATTAAGTTTTACAGTTAAGTTTTAAACAGTCATTGTTTTGATATTTTGATGTAATTACTGTACGGTTATTTAAGCGAGACTGTTGATATCCCTGTTTCATCAACTTGTTTTTCAAAATCTTGCCTCGTTTTGAGGCATGCTCTTTGGTATCGAATAAACTGTGAGACAAAAATCTCTATATGCATGTGATAGGGTATATTGCTTCATGTGTTAGGGAATATGACGATGAAGATATATTGCATAAGAGGTTAGGGAAGTTAACAATAAAAAAATTGAATTCATCCATTTAAACGTAAATTTTTCTTATGAGGTTATCATTAATATTTTTTCTAGTAAAATATCCCACTTTAAAACAGTCTTATTTCGATTTCTTTCTGATATTTTGTTTGTTTGAATATATTTAACGTTAGTCTTGAGAATTTTCCACTCATTCTGGTGTCGCCACCATTTGCCAGTGGAGAGCTGCTCCAATTTTGACCTATTTTGGCCATTGAGCAGTGAAGGTGAAACATATGGAGATTACGAACATTATTTCAGTTCAAAAGCCCATAAAATAATACAAAATAGGAGCAGAACAAACACGGACCTCCGAAACATCGCAGAGAGGATCAGATGCCATGGAGGAGTGAGCATCCCCTGCTGACTGGTCACACCCGCAGTGTGCTCCTTGTCATAATCGGGAAATAACGGGAAAATTCGTCGTCAATTCAGTGTACATGTATAAATAATGAATTAACAATTAGTATGAAAAACGTCAGACAGCATTTGACTTAATGATAAATTGTGTTTGCTTACAAGGTAATTGTATCGACCATAAAACTTACGAAATGATGACTTTAAATGACATCATTTTCGTGTCAGCATCTTGCTACTTTGACATGGGACCTCGGTTTATACGGTCCCATCCAAAGGACTGGTCTTGATTACTGCAGTGGGATCGCTGTGAAGCTGACATATTTTAAAGTACAATGTAACCATTGTTAAATGTTAATACCTCATCGATATTTGAATGTTTAATGAATTCTGTTTCATTATTATTCAGAATTATGAATGTATCAAGAGTATCCCAAGGAACGCACATGTCACCTGTTTTGCAACTTAAGTTAAAATGAAAATAAATCTTAAGAGCGCTCAGCTATTTCTTAGCTACTAGCGATATAGTTCATGGCTCTACCTTACCCATGGACGTAATGTCCATAGATTGTTGGAAGAGCTGATCTCAAAAAACAAGAATCTTTTTAATATCATCTTGGAGAACTTTTTTGCACAATTCGATCCTCCTCTAAATATTACAGATCTCCAGGACTCCGCTTTAACTGAGTTAAAATTACATGTTATATGTTATATAATATATACTCACCGTCAATAGAAACGCAACACCCTAATTTTAGGGTAAAAATTATAAACAGATTATAACTATGTACCAAAAAAGTTAGGACATCTTTTACTGTGCCAAATCAGTTATTTAACGGTTGAATGAATTTCTTTCCATTACCGGAAGTTGCTTTTTAGCCCTCTTTACAGAATTCAAAATTTTCCATTTTTAATAAAATTTTAACAATATTTTGGGTTTCCAAGGTTTTGAAACTGTTAGTCATAATTATTGTACTAAAAGGCCGGGAAAAAATCCTTCTTTCTTTGTCGGATGTGATGCCTATATTTCCTCAAAATGACTGAAAGCAAGAAGGGGGGATGTTTTTAGAGTTATGTGTTACCTTCTAAAGTTTAATGATAACATTAAAAATGAATATATTTAGGGAAAAAGTAAATTTACAAAAAATTAATGCTCCATTTAAACATTAAATGTTATTTTTAGACCTAAGAAAGAAACAAATACCCATTAAATCTTAAAACATCCCCCCTTCCGACCACTTAATGAAAACGTACTAGTCCACCCTATGTAACAAATGCAGCCCGATTTCTATCATGCATTAAGTTTATTAATGTCTTAATCTGAGCGAAATTAATATTCTTGGGCATTTTTTAATACACGTTTTTCAGATATTGCGGTCGAATTTTCTCTAACCTGGCGTAGTGTGGCAACTTTTTGACTTCCGGTCAAGAAACTGCCATTTATGCTATTGAAACACCTGAGCCTGATGAGTCGTTATATAGTGTACATTTGCATCTGCAGCTCTTTTTTTCTTTATTTTGAGAATTTCCAGCATTAGCAATGAAAATCAGTCATTTTGAGGAAATATAGGCATCACATCCGGTAAAAAAAGAAGGATTTTTTCCCCGGCCTTTTAGAACAATACTTATGATTAACAGTTTCAAACCCTTGGAAACCCAAAATATTGTTAAAATTTTATTAAAAATGGAAAATTTTGAATTCTGTTAAGAAGGCTAAAAAGAAACTTCCGGTAATGGAAAGAAATTCATTCAACCGTTAAATAACTGATTTGGCAAAGTAAATGATGTCCTAACTTTTTTGGTACATAGTTGAAGCCTGTATATAATTTTCACCCTAAAATTAGGGTGTTGCGTTTCTATTGACGGTGAGTATATTAATAAAATTTCCTTTTATTAAACAAAGAAAATATTTTGAGTATCTTCAATTTTAAACATACATGTAAAATGCACAACGTATAAAATTTTTCTTATTCAACTCTATGAAAAGCTTAAAATAAAGAGAACATAAATACATTTTTCGCATTTGTCACTTAAAAATTTGTTCTATTAAAAAAAATAGATGTCATGTCCATGATTTTCACATTAGGATTGATTCTCCATTTCGTCAACTGAATCACAGTCAGATGTGGTTTCGAATTCGTAGAGTGAATTCTGTTCAGAATTGATGGAGGAATCCCCTTCAGAGTCGGAATCTGAATGGGTGTTGGATTCGTTGAATTCTTCAACTTCAGTGTTCAAGTCAGATTCAGAGTGAACGACTGACTCGTTGTTCAAATCGGATTCGGAAGATGAATCAGAACTTACGCTTTGTCGACATACTGGGCAAAGTTCATTAGTGTACATCCACTTTTGAAGACACATTCGGTGAAAGAAGTGACCACATGGTGTTATTTTAGCCGTCGAAATCGAATACTGACAGATCGAACACACACCATCAAAGTTTTGCATTTGTTCCTCAACTGTAACTGGTAATAAATCTATCATTTTCATGACTTTTCTTCTTACTTTTAAATTTTCCCACAACTTTTTAAGTCTCCCCCAATAGGGTAAACAGCCAGCTAACGCAAGAGGACTAAACCAGATGAAAAAGTTTTGAAAAAGAAAGAAGTCACCGATACAAATAAGAACACATGACAGAACAGTGTTTATAAATTGTATCGTCGACCAAATGTAAAAAATAACATCATCCATACTTTCCCATGGTCTGGAATACATGCGATCATATACATAAATAATATAAACGATAATAGAGGACGCTGCTTGAACACAGGTTGACACACAGAGTGATAAAATATTGAAAGTTTCAGATATATCACTTATTTTATAAATCAGGGTCATTGAGAGAATGCAAAGTATTATAATGAAAAAGTATGTCAGAAGTCCCTGGATATGTTTAATTGGCTTTGTGGTAGCAGCTCTACTAAATGATATGATAACTGCATGTGTGTTACAATATGTTATGTACAGAAAATATAAAACCATGGAAAGTAGTACAATTTTTATTCTGAATGCTCCTTGGAATGGACTTTCCAAATTTTCGGCTGATGGCAAATATCCAGACCTTATATACATTGCAAGTATGAAAAAGCCATGAGTCCAGGTCACTTTATAACTAAGCTTACCATAGGTATCCAAGCCATGTAAGAAAATAAGAGGAAGCGTAATGAAATACTGGAATCCACACAGAAGTGATGTACACATTGCGATCACCCCGAGAGGGGTAGTGCAGCATTCGCCGACACTCACGAAGAAAAGTGTATACCAATCCATTTCCTTCACTGGTTTTGCCACATTGCAAAATAAATGGTATAAAAATAACATACACCAATAAATGAGGAATTGTTTTGATAAACGTGTATGAGATGCGATGATATTTAAAAATACACCAAATCCGAAGTTGTCAATTATATTATACCATTCCTTTAGCAGATACATGGCAATTAAATGTGTAAGTTTGATTGTAAGAAAATAAAATATCGTTTCATTTGCCATGCAGTGAAAAAAATAGTTGACATCATTGGAAAGACCAAACTGCCATATGAAAAATGGCAATAGGTAAGCCACCATAAACACTTCAGTCCAATACTTTTCACCAAACAAATAATCGGTAAACATCCCACCGAGGATAAGACGTCCGAAATCTTTGGACGCATCCATGCTGAATAAGTTTTTGTTCTCAAATTTTTTGAATTCCGAAAACTCGACTGCATAGGAATAAGCAAAAATAACTGGGAATGCGCAGAGAAAGAACGAATACACTTGTCCAATTCTCGTTGATGGGCCAATCATCAATAAAACGACCGTGATCACAACTGGAAAGAAAGAGTTTCATTAGATACTGTTATATGTATGCAATTGGTGAGGATAATTTAAAAAGAAAATTTTCTTGTATTATTAAAAGGTTATTCGATACCGGGTATTCAAGTCAAAAGACTTCTGTAACTTGTACATGTTTTAATTAGCTTATCCAAGATCAATACAAAAAATCTTTATCATCAAGACCATTGCAACAATAACATTTTAATTAACGAGATGTTTATGTGAAACACTGATGCCCCCAATATGGCAGCTGATGGCGAGGGTTGAAATTTCTTAAATGCAAGTTAAACTCCAAGGTCAAGTGAAAAGGTTAAAATTATTGGTACCCAAAGGGAGGTCTTCTCAGAGTTAATACACCTGTGTAATATGATAGCCATTATGCAGTGTAGTTAGCTATTATGGTTCAAAAGGTTTTTTTTTAAGTGGATCGTACTCTGAAGTCGAGATAAAAATTGTTGGTATCCATTGGAAGGTCTTGTCACATGGAATACACATGTGAAATATGAAAGCCTTAGCACTAACAGTCCAAAAGTTATAGCCCAGCTTAGAGTTTTTTTTTAAAAGTGGGACAAACTCTAAGCTCAAGGTCAAATAATTTTATACCCAATAAAAGGCTTTGTCACAGTGAATACACATGTAAAATACTAGTATGAACGCCATAACACCAAAGTTCTATTTTAAAAGTAATTGCTATAATAAATGTTCGAAAATTCCAAATTCAGGTCATAAGGTAAAATTTGATGATACCAAAAAATACATTTGTTAAATATAAAAGTCATACCTCCACCCACTAAAAAGTTATAGAAAAGATTATTTTAGTTTTTGCGAACAAAATTATGAACAGACAGACAGACGGATGGACAGGGCAAGAACTATATACCCCGAATCTTCGATTTCTGTTTCCTTTATTGTACCTAAAAAAAATGAAATCGCTTTATTCCCATGTTTGTACACCTGACAATAATCAGTTTTAAAAAGAGATATTCATACAACTTTACACCTACCAAGAAAAGTCATTCCCTGTTGCAACCAGGAAGAATTCTGCAAAAATGAGCGAAACCATATCTCGAAGACAAGGAACGACGGTAGTCTGAGAATCAGAGTTAGTCCCGCAACTAGTTGTTCTTTATCAAATATATTTGATAACATTGTAATGGTTTCCAAAAAAACTTATTTTGAACCATGAAGTAATTTAACTCAATGGATACGTATTTTAAAATTCTTTCTTTATGTGTATTGTACATCCGAATTAGCTCTTTGGGAATTCCCTTAATTTGAAAACGAAAGCAAATTAAAAATATAAATTTTAAAAAGAAATACTTTTAAGATTATTCTGCTAGGAATACGGGATTCTAATATCTGAATTACTTCTTTTGACTTTAGAAGATTTCATAAGAAGGAAGATTTTTTAGGCCAATAGTGTCGAAGAAAAATATACAGCTGTTGACTGGGGTAGGGGGAAACAATCGATCTCTTGGACCGGAGTGCAAGCTGTTGCCCAAGGCCGTATGCGTCAGGGGGCAACAGTCTTTTTTAACAGTATGTTCCTGAACCGACAATCTGGGAAAGCAATCGAACTGTTGGACTTTTTAAGTGAAGAAATTATATAGAGAGGGACTGTTTAGTAGGGGTATAACAAGTCTGTTTAAAATGCTTTTTCAGGTTTTATATGCAATAAAAATTTATGTACGTTTAATATTCTTTAAACTGTGTGCAATGATTATCAAAAAAAAACCTTTTACCTGAGTGACAGTATAAATTAAATGAAAGCTTCCTTTTCTCTTTAAGAGCAATGTCAGGTCAAGATTATTACATGTATAATTTTTCTTAGACTTTTAGAATTTAAAAAATATTATTGTCAATCAGTGTATGCATATCTACTAATAAAAGGTGTTAAAATTTGTTCTAAAAATATAAATTGAGACCGATATTTAATATTCCTAGCATATCATAACGGAAAATATTCTTCGAGTAAAAATATGTGAGGCTAAAGTTCCAAGATATGAAATTGAATTAAAATTGCAGAATTTTCTGCTAAATATCCTTCCACCAAAAGAAATAGTCCCTCATAAATTTTGTGCTTCTTTGTGAACTTCAGAGCAGTTTTTTTCATTGAATGTTGAACAATTAACATTGTTTAATTTAAATATGTTAATAAAAATTAAATTATAATTAATAGTTTTGAAGTTATATATAGGTTCTGCCTGAACTTGTCTAAAAAGCTGACCAGTGACATTCCTTAAAATAGATATTGGCCGATTCTTACGTATTTGATTTATAGATTGTTCTTATTATCACATATACTAGTATACTGTTGTCATTAAACTAGTCATATACATATATTTAAGGAATCACTGTCTAGTTTGGAGAGTATGCCAGGGTATCAACAATAGTGGGAAACATGGGATAATTTGCAAAACAGGCGAAGCCCGTTATGCTAAAATTATCCCATCTTTCCCACTATTGTTGATGTCCCTGGCATACTCTCCTAACTAGACAGTGATTCCTTATATTTCCATTTCATTGTGAAATAAAATTGCAGTCTTAGACATTAAAAATGTAGACTAATAGAATTAAATTACACGAAGACTTCCATGCCAATTTCAATAGTCCTCGCACACTGACGTCAAACACAAAGGCAGCTGCACGAGATTTACATGCATATTTGGCCTCCTTAGGTCAGACACAGAGACAGATCCGCACGAAATTTGCATGCGTATTAGGCCTCCTTAGCTGCTGACCTATCGACCTGCCTAATTTACATTCCGGCAGAATTATCAAGAAATAAACTCCCCCAACTTTCAAACAGATATCACAGAGAAAAAAAAAATTAGAAATGGAAATATAAAGTTATGACCGTTCAGGAAGAGATATTTTTACTGATTTTTTGCTCACATCTGCTCTTAGATTTGAAAGCAAACAAAAGTTAAAAAGACCGCAGTTTGTTTAGAGAATCATTTTATTTGATATATTTTTAACTTGTGCTGAGCTTAATGAACTCATATTTATAATTTAGTTACTTCAGATGCTTATTAATTTAAACTTAATTTAATGTTCTTGACCCGGGATCATGAAACATCTTAATCTTAAGTCAAATAATGTACTTCTACACTCTTAAAAAAGTTTTACTTAGTAGTCATTTTTTACTTGAAATAACAAAGATAAGTAATAGATAATTACTAAGCATTTACTTAAAATTTTAAATCAATTACTGAAATATATGTCATTTACTAGATTCAAATGTTTTACTTGATTTTTGTATTTTAAAGAATTGTTTTACTTACACACTAAAAAGTTTTACTTAGTAATTTATATTAACTTAAATTTGTGTATATAAGTAATAACATTACTTGGTCTTTACTTACATTTTACCACTATTTACTATATAATTAATATTTTAATGCCCCCGTAAACAAAGTTTCGGGCGTATATAGTTTTTGTCGTGTCTGTCTGTCTGTCTAGCTGTCTGTCTAGCTGTCTCTCTGTTTGTCTGTTTATCCACAGAAACTTTTACCTTGCCCATAACTTTTGATTTAGCGGAGCTATGACTTTCATATTTCACACGTGTATTCCTTGTGACAAGACCTTTCTTTGAGTATCACCAAATTTGACCTTGACCTTGAAGTTTGACTCACTTATACACAAAAAATCCAAACTTATTCTTTATCCAAATCATTTGAACAGTAAATACCAGGACATGTATACTTCACATATATATTTTTTGTTGAAAGAACTTTCATTGAATACCAACAACTATGAAATTTTGACCTTGACCATGGGGATTTCCATCCTTGTGAAAAAAACTTTAACCTTGGCCATAACGTTTGAACGGTAAGGAATAGTGCTTTCATACTTACATATATGTAATCATTTTGAGAAGACCATTCATAGGATACCAAGAACTTTGACCCTTTGACCTTGACCTTGGAGTTTGACCCACTTTTAAAAAGCAAACCTTGACTCTAACTTTAAAAGGATTAGGGTTAGTGCATTCATACTTTACATAGTTCATCCTTGTGACAAGACCATTCTTTGGGTACCACCAAATCTGTCCCTTTGTCTTTGACCTTGGCGTTTGACCTACATTTCAAAATTGGTAACCTTGACCATAACTTCTGAAGGGTTAAGGCAAGTGTTTCCATATTTCACATATGTATTTTTTTTGGCAAGACCTTTCATTAGATACCAGTAACCTTGACCTTTTGACCTTGGAGATATCAAGAAATCCCAATAATTTAAATTTGCATTTAAGAAAAGTTTAACCTTTGAAATGTTGCCATACAGGGGCATAGGTGTTTCACAAACACATCTCGTTTGAATTGTATTTAATTGATTTACTTAAAACAAAAATTTATTTACTAAATCTAGAATTCAGATCAGTATTTACTTAAATATGGTAGTCTAATCACTAATTGTCTGTGAGGAGGAGTTATCTTTCTTCTAAATATTCCTTCATGTGAAAAAAAAGTCACACTAATAAAAATGCGACATTAAGTACTTGAAATGTTTAACCATTTTTAAAATGGTCCTTAAAAAAAGATACAACTTATTCAATTTTTAAGGCTTTCGAAGTTGGAATCAAATGTTTTATTGTTATATATAATAAAACAATTACAAAGAAATTGGCAAAAGAAATAGAAAGTATAATTGTTTCCATCATGAGTAGATTTCTTCTATTAAACTATTCAGAGGGCCCAGTTAGGGAACTCTGATAAAGAAATCTGTGAGTAGTACTCACATGTCAGAGGGTCGGTACATTGCAGTGTTTCTAGTAAATAATGTCGATTTTAGTAAATATGATAAGTATTTCATTTACTTAGTATTCTTTTGAGTAATAATATTCTAGATTTTAATTAATTTCAGAATTACATTTACTTAGTAATAATTCATAAAATTTAGTAAATAGAAAGCATATTATCTCTAAATTAAGTAATAATAATTTAACAAAAATGAGTAGTTCATTTACTAACTTTAAGTAATACAATTCCTATAATTTAAGTAATTCTATTGATACTTAGTAAATCATTTTATAAGTAAATGAATTCATCCTTATTACTAATTATGTTTACAATTACTAACCATGATAGTCATTTACTTGCTATTCTGACTAAATGGATTACTAATAATTACTAGTTTTTCTTAATCTAATATCTTATTTTAAAAACAACAAGTAAAACTTTTTTTAGAGTGTATATGGCGCTGACATAAATTAAAAATTATAAAATTCATAATGAAAATGCTTTCCAATTTTGTATCATTAATCTGCTGTCAATTTTGTTTTTGTAAGATTAAAAAATACTATCACTGCTGTCTTTAACTTTTAAATTCAAACCTAACTAATTTCTTACAGAAATATTTACATACTGCTGTAAAGGAGGAACTTCAAACGTAAAAAAAATAGAACATTTTGGAATTCCGACTGTTTATACTCCTTTATTAGTCGATCTGTTTTTGTATTTCAAAGAAGAGAATTTATTGAAAAACTGGAGGAAAAAAAACACTTGTGGCCTTCTTCACAGATTTGTATTATTTAAAGATTAATTTGAGATCGATCCCTGTTATTTTCACCATTTCCTTTCTTTGTAGTCATAATGGTAATTTCTGCAGATATAACCTATCATTTGATCATATTTTAGCGAACTTAATCTATACTCATTTATACCAATTGTTAGGCCTTTGCTTATGTTCTGAATTTGAATACGGAATATTTTTTCTACCTTATCAATACTGAGAGCTCAGGGCTTTGAACGAAATCTTCGTATCAAAATAATTTATTTCATGTGATAACATCCCTATTTTGTGTACACTGTTTTGTAAAACTAGTATAAAGACTAAAGTAAAGCGTAAAATAGTGTTAAGTCTACTTTTTAATGGCACACGCCGTATTTTAATGTTTGCAAAACATATTTTACATACAATATCGTCGATACTCTGATAAGAACTCTTTCATTTCAGGAAGGTTAGCACACTATGTATATTAAAAGATTCTTTAAAATTTCTGGAGTATTCAATCCAAGCATCTTCTTATGATTTATCATTAGTAGGTAGCATTTAAGCTGAACACTATCCTTTTATAAAACTATCACGGTGTAATTTTTGAGAAAAACAATTTTAGTGACATTTTAGCTGACTTTGAAATATACTCTTAATTTACTGTAATTATTTTAAACAACTTGAGAAACTTTAATTATGTTAATTACTATGTAACTCCGAATCTGAAAATTAATTATTTGATCAATTTACTCAACATGTCATGAGTTATTCC